TTAAAAATTCTACATGCTGCATGTCATTAAAATTCAATCAATTCAACGAAGAAATTTTATGAGTTCTACAGGTTATTATTTACCTACTTTTCAAAAAGGGACTCCTTCTTTGGCAGACAAGTTTTATAAAGCTTGAACTTTTTAAGCTTTTATATATATATATATATATATATATATATATATATATATAATATATATATATATATATATATCCATATATGTCCACGGCGTTTGCAGTAATCAATCGAACATACTTTGACTTTTGCGATCGTTTTAAATAAGCAATAATTTTAAATTTAATAATATAACAATAAAACTGTTAAAGACCAGTCATTAAAACTACAATTAATAACAGCGCTTTAATTGGGAATGAATGCCCCCATTATCAACATATTTTATAAGTTTGTCTAATAGTTTAAAGAATTAAAAATCTTGCCAGACAAAATGTCCGATGACTTTGTAAATTGATCGGACAATCTGAGGTTTTAGCCGGACAATGTCCGATGTCCGACTGTTAAATTAAGCCCTATATATATATATATATATATATATATATATATATATATATATATATATATATATATATATATATATATATATATATATATATATATATATATATACATATATATATATATATATATATATATATATATATATATATATATATATATATATATATATATATATATATATATATATATATATATATATACAGGCTTGGTCGGGAAGCGGGAGCGATCGCTCTCGAACACTGACCACAGAAATTATATTTAGTTGTGTAAAACTAGCCAGGTTTTTTAGTCGTTTTGAGAACATTTAAGTTTATTTATGAAACAAAAAATTTTTGTTTTACGGACATACATGGAAACATAAAAAACTTGAATGTTCTCAAAACATCATTGTGCGAAAGAATAAAAAGAATATTTGCGAGCACTAAAAACCCGCCAAATTAACGAACAAACTAATTCTATTGGTTCAAAAAATACGCTGATTAAGCAAAATAAAGTTCTAGAGTATTCTGTTAAAATGTTTCAGAAAATAAATTATACATGATTTGTTACGTTTTGAGATTTCTAGAATTGTTTTAAGAATATATATTTGTTTACAAAAATAAATGTTTTAAATTTATATTAATTAAATTGTTAAAATTTCAAAAGTTTATTATAAATTACAGATTTTATTAGTATATTCTTATTTTTTATTTAAAAAGCATGTAATCTTTATGTAAATGTAATTTTGTGTATCTGTTTTTTATCGTAATGTATCTTTTAAAGCAATTTTTATGATTTAAATAAAGACTTACAAAAATAATTACGTTTTTAATGAAGTTATAATTGTTAAAGTTAATAAAACTAATTATGTAACAAACATATAAAAAGTTTCTAGTTACTAAACACAAACAACGCATACAAAGTAACTCGCGGATAAACAAGCATCGCGCCTGAGGTCACAACAGAACACAAATATATATAGCAAATAATTAAATAAAAAAAAGTTTCTAGATATTGGTTTACTAACTCTAATTATTTTTGCTTAAGTTGCCATTCTTAAAACTCGTTTTACTTTTTTCTGCTTTAAATACTAATTAAAAATAAAAAGCCCACTCACTAAACATTATCAGCGATATTGTGAAGCAGATTCGCTTCCTGGTCATTAAGTATTTTTAACCTTTTTAGTTGATATCTATCTTGATAATTTAATTTCTATAGTAATTCAATGATTTAATTATTTCATTTGTTTATCTTACTAAGAAGAATCGCTTCAAATATGTTAAACTTTTCAAACTACGCGAAACATAAAATAGGTATTAAAAAAATTAACTTTTTTATTTATTAAATAATTTAGCTCAAGTAAAACTAAAACTTGCAAACTTAGTTAAATAAAGGATATTTGTTTCTTTTTTAAACAATCGTAAGTTGTTACTTTATATAAAAAACATCGCTTAATTTTATAAAAAAATTATAAAAGAGCGATGTTTCGAAAATATTTGTTCTAAATGTAATTTATTTTGCTTTAAGAGTTTTTTCGCGTTTAAAGATATTTTATTTGCCTATTTTTTTTTTTTTTTTTGTAATTGTCTCTCATCGGTCCAATTATTCGTTTTTTTTTTTTATCCGTTTTTTTTTTTTTTTGCTTTTTAAAATGTTCTCAAAACGACTAAAAAATCTGGCCAGCTTTTCGCAACTAAATATTATTTACGTGGTCAGCAATCGAGAGGGATCGCTCCCGCTTCCCGACCAAGCCTGTATATATATATATATATATATATATATTTATATATTTATATATATTTATATATATATATATATATATATATATATATATATATATATATATATATATATATATATATATATATATATATATATATATACACATATATATATATATCAGGGGCTTTTCTAGGAAAAAAAATGGGCAGGGGTACCCCCTGTCCTGAAGTAATTTAGCAAAAATATTGCCAAATATCAACATTTTTTTGCAAAAAAAAAACAAACAAACTATTTGTCATTAAAAACATACAAAAAAAATATATATATAATTTTTTAATTTGGGCTGTGCCCAAATATGAAATATGCTGTCAAAAACAGTATAGAATAGCCCTTGTGTGTGTGTGTGTATATATATATATATATATATATATATATAGATATATATATATATATATATATATATATATATATATATATATATATATATATATATATATATATATATATATATATATATATATATATATATATATATATATATATATATATGTATATATATATCAGGGGCTATTCTAGTAAAAAAAAATGGGCTAAGGTTAAGGCCATCGCTCTTAACATTTCTAAAGCGTTTGATAAAGTTTGGCATGCTCTTCTCCATAAGCTTTCTTCTTACGGTGTATCTGGAAACATCTTTAAGATTATTGAATCCTTCCTTTCCAATCGTAGTATAAAAGTTGTCCTTGATGGACAGCACTCTTTTTCTTATTCTGTAATCTCAGGGGTTCCTCAAGGTTCAATCCTTGGCCCTATACTCTTTTTAATTTACATTAACGATCTTCCAGATATTCTCACATCTAAGATGGCATTGTATGCTGATGATACTACTATTTATTCTTGTCACGATAAGAAGCCAACTCCCTCTGATTGCTTGCAGGGGACATCTGAGTTTGAAAAGGATCTCACTTCTGCTACAGCACAGGGCTCACAGTGGCTAGTGAACTTAAATTCAGATAAAACTCAATTTTTTTCAGCCAATCGTTATCGCAATAATTTAGACCTTCCTATATTTATGAACGGTAATGTACTCAATGAGTCTCCTACCCTTCATCTTCTAGGATTAACTCTTACTTCTGATCTTTCTTGGAAACTTTATATCAAACCCGTTGCAAAATTAGCATCTACTAAAGTCGCTTCTCTTTATCGAGCTCGTCATTTTCTTACTCTGGATTCTATTCTCTATCTCTATAAATCTCAAATCCGGCTTTGTATGGAATACTGTTGCCATATCTGGGGTGGATCTTCTAATGATGCCCTTTCTCTTTTAGACAAGGTGCAAAAACGCATTGTAAACATAGTTGGACCTGCTCTTGCAGCCAACCTTCAACCTCTGTCACATCGTCGTAATGTTGCTTCTCTTTCTCTTTTTTACAAATACTGTAATGGGCACTGCTCTAAAGAGCGAGCTTCTCTTGTGCCATCTACAAAAATTTATTCTCGTGTTACTCGTCATTCAATTAAGTCTCATCCTTTTTCTGTTACTGTTCCTAAGTGCTCTAAAAACTCTTATTCGTCTAGTTTTTTTCCTCGAACATCAGTTCTTTGGAATTCGCTTCCTTCATCTTGCTTTCCTGATTCATATAATTTGCAACCTTTTAAGTCGTCTGTCAATCGTTATAATGCTCTACAATCTTCATCGTTTCTCTACCAGTAACTTCCAACACTAATTAGTGGTTGCTTGCAGCCTTGTTGGAAGCGAAGATGTTAAAAAAATATATATATATATATGTGTGTGTGTATATATATATATATATATATATATATATATTAGTAGAAATCAGAAACATCTGATTTCCGATGAGTCTTCATAAATGAAACAGTGTAAAAGAAAAAAAAAATTATAAGTGATTTTCTACTACTTTATTATTGCTTTGTTCTTTTAATAACATTGAGCACTTTTTAAAAATGGCGTCCAAAACATAATTTTGACATATTGGCCTTTATCAAGATTAATTCTGCCCTTTTGTGCAGAGCACATGTTGTTTTGTATTTCTAGTGCCTCTCTAATTTTTCTTTCAAACTTTTTATTTTCTACCTTTAACGTTCTTTTTTTCCCCCAAATAATATCTTTGCAAAAGGTTTTATGAAATGCTAATGCAGATTGATTAAGTTTGTTTTCATTAATGCTCTTCTGATGTTGATGCATCCGCATATTTACCTGCATTTTTGTTTCACCTATGAAAACTTTGGAGCAGTTGCATTTTATTATATAGGTTCCAGGCTAGCTGTTACTTGGTAGTTTTGTTTTGTTTTTTGATGTTAATAAAGATCTTAAATTTTCTTAAAAGCCATTTAACAGCTGATGTCAATATTAACAATTTTATATAAACTATAACGATTAAAATTATTGTAATATTTTACAAGCTGATGATGCTGGCATCCATAACCCAGCGAAAATTTCTTCTAATTAGTGGTTGCTTGTAGCCTTAATCAAGAAATACAGTTTCTCTCAATACAAATAATAAAATTATTTGTATTGAGAGAAACTGTATTTCTTGATGTTTTTAAAATTACATATAATATACTCTTATACAAGATGTCATCTTTCAAATATATATATATATATATATATATATATATATATATATATATATATATATATATATATATATATATATATATATATATATATATATATATATATATATATATATATATATATATATATATATATATATATATATATATAATTTAAACAAAAAAATAACAATTTTATTCAAAACTTACACAATAGTTGTTCTATTATTGTTAAAAAATGTTAATTTGGAGTCATCAAAGTCAACTATTTTTGCAATCACAGCTTCACAGGAACATACAGGAGATAAAGAAAGTACTGCCTAAATATATATATATATATATATATATATATATATATATATATATATATATATATATATATATATATATATATATATATATATATATATATATATATATATATATATATATATATATATATATATATATATATATATATATATATATATTGACACATAAATATAAACAAAATAAAAAGTCATTTATCTGCATAATAGCATATTTATTCAAATCTTTCAATGCCCCTAAAAACTAATATATTCACTGCCTTGCAGCCAATTTGTGACTAAGCATAGTGTGAAGCTAAATTAAGCTAAAATACATATCTATTAGCTCTCTGATGATCATTAATGAATGGGATTAACTACTTGATTATGCTCTTTTTTGAAGTGCACTTTTTTTATTGATAGCTATTAAACTTGGTACAATTTGAACTTATTACTTTGGTATTGAGCATTTTTAAAACACAACCCTTCTTGTTTAGAGTAAGTTTTTCTATTTTGTCTTAAGAGTAACTTTTTCCATTTTGTCTTAAACGGCTTTCCTGATTCTTAAGATGCAATATGGTCAGGGCTAATTTTACTCACAATCCCACCAATCATGTGCTGGAAGGCCATGAAGTACAAGGGGCCTAAACATCAACATGAATCTTTTTTAAATAAATTATTTGAACAAAATAAAATTATAAGAAAAATAAACTTATAAAAATTTTTAGCAATGAAAATGAAATAGTTACGTTTTTCAAATTTATTCCTTTCTCCTGGCTTATTATTATTTTTTTCATTTTGGCTCCAAAAAGTGTAATAAAATAAAAATATTATTTTATGCAACTATTTTATACTTTAAAGCCAGAATAAAGGGATCCCCAAGCGCCGAGAGTTGTGTTATTATCAAAAATAAACATCAGAAAATAAATTGAATGTTAATTAAACCTTCCAAAACAAATTATTGAATTAACAAAAACATTTGCTGTTTTGTCACCATACTTCCGGTCGAGAGCCTAATTTTAGGCTCTCAAATCTGCAAGTTTTTTCCGTTAAAAAAGCATCTGGTTTCAATAATAGATTATTTCTCTCACAACAGAGTTGTTTAAACAGTTCAGTTTTACATAATCAGATTGGAATTTCCCTTTAAAAAATAGTCTGCGGTGGTTATAAAAAACGTTCACTGTAGCATGTTTTTGTTTTTTGTTCAACGTATTGTGAAGTGTTTAATTAAGAATAAACTAGTGTAATAAAAATAGTAATTAATCGAAGCAAACTTATTACTTTTATTAAAAAATACAGCAAAGTATATGTTTTCTTTTACAATCTGCAATTTATTTGTACTATTTAGATCTTAATGGCACAAATTATTTTTAGCAAATGTCAAGATTATTTTTAAATTTTTGTATCATACTAATTTGTATAGTACTTAAATTAGTTGTTTTTTTTTAAATAAATTAAATTGTTTTTAATTAAAATAAAAAGTCTGACTATTAAAGTGTTACTTATCTATCTTATGATTTGGTGTAGATATCATATGAAAATCAGTAAGTCAGATGGTCAACAAATTTAATTTAGTTCCTACTCTAAAATAAATTATCTAAATATAATTAGCACAATGAATATTATTATTATTATTAGTACACATAGTTACGCATTCTTACGCCTATTGTTCGTTTTGTTAATTACGGTTCTGTATTCTATAAAATACACTATTTCTTAGTTTTTAAGTTGTTTCTAGACTTTACTAAGCGCGGTTATATACTCCACGCGGTCTTTCAAGTAAGAACAGCAAGCAAATTGGAACTGATACACTTATTTTTAAGAAGAATTGATGTTGTTCATTTTTTAAAATAAAAATTTAATTGTTAGTTTGTTGTTGCTTATTTTTATTTTTTCTAATTTTTATAGCCTGTTTTTATTTTTTAGAAGAAGTTAAAACTAAAATGACTGGTAAAATAGTTTTTTTAGTAAAATGTTTCTTTTTTAGTAAACTGTTTCACTTTTGTCGTTAGTCTTTTTAGAACATTTTAAGCAAGTATTGTTTTATTTTTTATAGCAGTTAAGAGAAGCTGATGGCTTTTTTAGTAGGTTCAATTTGTTTTCTTATTTATTGATAAAGATTGTTTTTTGTAAAAAGAATTAAATATAAAAAAAAGTTTTATATATGTATTTAATATGAAAAGTTAAATGATATAAGACTGTTATTTGTGTTCATGTAAGTTTATATACATAAGTTTGCGTTTATTTTAGTATATTTTATATTTCTTTATATCTAAACTATATGTATATTTTCTTTTAGCAAAAATAAATGAGAACAGAAAAAAAAAAAAAATTTCTTCTGGAATTTGTCAAAAGAGTGTTGTGTTATGCTTCACTTTAAGGTATCTAAGTATGTATTTATTTTTCATTTTTTAGAAGAAGTTAGAACTATATTGATTGATAAAATAGCTTTATTAGTACAATGTTTCTTTTTAAAGAAAACTGTTTCAGTTTTGTTGTTAGTCTTTTTAAAACATTTTAAACAAGTATTTATTTTATTTTTTTAGAGCAGTTAAGAGGAGCTGATCGCTTTTTTAGTAAGTTCAATTTATCTTTTCATACATAGATTAATATTTTTTTTATAGAAAGAATAATGAGAATAAAATTTCATTTATGTATTTAAAATGAAAAGCTAAATAAAATAAGACTGTTATTTGTGGTCATGTAAGTTTATATACATAAGTTTGCATTTATTTCAGTCTATTTTATATTTGTCTATATCTATATATTTTCTCTAAGGAAAAATAATAAGGAATAGAAAAATTAGAAAAATTTCTTCTGGAATTTGTCAAAAGAGTGGTGTGTTATGCTTCATTCAAGGTATCTAAATATGTATTTATTAGAAATTTTTAATTTTGTTTTTAAATGGTATCTTCTTTTTCATTACTTTAGATAAATATATACTGACTGACATAACTTCATTTTTATTAACAATGTTGTGCATTGTAGTCTGCATTCTTTGTTACATTAAAAATAATTGATGCTAATAAATGTTGTTTTATAGTTGTTAAAAGTTTGCATATATGTTTGCATGTATATTATGCTCAAAGTTAAATTTTTTTTTGATAAATATGTGTATGTGGTGATATATGTTATAAAGTTGTTTTATAAATGTGTTTATATAAATGTGTTTTTATAATAGTATGAAATGCATTATATCTAATTTGTGCATGATTGTTAAATGAGGTGTTTTTAAATATTAAGTAACATTAAAAAAATATATTGTGTTTTATAATTAGTATATATGTTTATATAATGCTGTTTCCGTGATTTTAAAGTGGTGTGACTTGGCAAATGTGTAGAATAAGATTTGTCAACCTTACTAGTCAAGCGATGTTACTGCTTTAGGTCTAAGTGTTGCCTAGCCTTTAATATAACTATTCTGAAAACACATAGCATTATCTTTAATAATTTTTTGCATAATGTTGTTACCTTTGGCTTATCTTTACATTGGTGTCAGCTGTTAAAAATGATTAATAGGTAGTTTCATTACTAGAACTTACTGTTTTTATTTATTTACTAAAAGTCATTCAAGACATCATTTCGCTATAAATACATTTTGTTTATCATGATATAACAATATTTAGCAACTACTACTCAGGTATCACAACAGCTTATCTCTATCAGGTACATTGATTTTCAATTCACATATGATGTTTTTCTTTGTATTTACTTATTTACATTTTTTAACTTCAGATTTATGGTGCATTTATTTTCTATAGAAAAACAAATCATTTTGAATTTTTATGAATTTTTTAAAAATATCTACTCCAGCCAACATTTAAAGTTCAATGTTGCATATACCATTTTTAAGTAGCTTCTAAGCTTTTTTGATGCTTTCCTTATTCAATTAGTTTTATAAGCAAGGTCTGCAAGCAAATTTGAGCTGAAAATTTTTTCAGCTTTCAAGGAGAATCAATGTTGTTCTCTGTTTAATTTAATTTGTTTAAATAGAGTAGTTTTAATAAATAAATGTTTGTTTGTTCTTGGTTTTTTACTTATTTGTTTTCAGATTCTTAAGAACTAGGCAACTTAGCGAAACAAAATTTATTATATTTTTTAGTGCAATTGAAAAGAGCTAAAGTGCTTTTTAGTCACTTCAAATCATTTGTTTCTTTTTTTAAATAGAAGGGTTAATAATAAAAATATTTAGACAGTCGAACTGTTACTGATTTGAGTAAGTTTAATGTTTTGTTTAATTTTATATTAGATATATATTTTATGTATTTAACATGAAAAACTGACTGTAATTTTTGACAGGTAAGTTTATATACATAAATGTGCCTATATATCAGAATATTTTATATTTCTCTGAATCTATATGAATATTATCTCAAAGAAAAAATTGAGAATAGAAAAAATTTGAATATATATACATACATATATATTACTTTAGACTGACATTGCTTCATTTTTTATACAATATTCTGCATTTATTATTTTTGTGCATTAAGATTATGCCTGAAGGCTTTCTTAATTTAGCAAAGAATATAGAATACAATGCAAATAGATTTGCACTGTGTTCTAAATTCTTTGCTAAATTAAAAAATGTCAATAAATTTTGTTTTATATTTTTCAGTTGTAAAAATATAAAACGTTCATTTATTCAGTTGTAACAGTAGTATAATCACTGGTAATATATATTTAATGATAACAGATGTATAATATTAGTCTGGAAGAAGTTATTAGTGTAAATGGTTATAGGTGACTTGAAATTGTTGTCATATAAAATAAATAAATCTAGGCGTGATAAAATTAATTGTCATTGAAATATAAGAAATTTTGCTTGATGAACAAAAAACTTACTTGGCAGAATTCAGTGTCAAGCTATTATTTGACTTTACATTAGACACTTTAAAATAAAGCAAAGTATGAATTTTACTATTTATAGTAACAAATATAACAGTTTCAATTTTAAATGATTTTTTTTTTTTTTTTTTTTTTTTTTTTGCAATCTTAAACATAATTGTGTTCATTTTTTTTTAGTTTTTCTT